GTGTGTGTGTGTGTGTGTGTGTGTGTGTGTGTGTTGGTACCAGGGACTGAACCCAGGGCTGCTTTACCACCGAGCCACATCCCCAGTCCTTTTAATATTTTGAGTCAGGGTTGCCCTGAATTCCTGAGGGCCTCACGAAATTGCTGAGGCTGGCCTCGAACTTGCAATCCTCCTGCCTCAGCCTCTCATATCCCTGGGATTACCGGCCCACGCCACGGTGCCTGGCCTCCTATAGACTTTAAATCCTCCCTAGTTGACCTGTAACACCTAATGCAATATCAATGCTCTGTTGGCAGCTGTTATACAACATTTTTTAGGGCAGGAATGGCAAGGCAAAGAGAATCTGTACACGTTCAATACAGACACTTTTTTTTCTGGAATATTCTCTGTCCTTGGTGACATCCCCCAGGACAGGGCCCTCCCCAGGTTCCTCAGCCCCCCTCCTGGATCAAAACTGGGGTTTTTTTCAGTCTTTCTTTCCCAACTGACCTCCGCTTGGGTTGCGTTTCTGTCTAATCTGCCTCCAGCCCATGGGCAGGGGTGAGCACAGAGGCCTAAAAATACCCTGAGCTGCCAGGTTGCCTCACATCAACCCTTCGCCAGCAGGACACCTGTCCCTCGGGCTTCCCTCCCTCCCTCCTGGGAACTTTCATTCCCCTCAATCAGAGGCTGGGGGTGGGATGCGGAGGGACAGTCTGAGATCCAAGGTGCAGAGATGAGCGTTTTCTCTGGGGTCATCTTTCATGGCCTCCCGTGTGTACAGCTGGGGACACCCCCATCCCAAGAAGACAGGTTTTCTTATTATCCTGCCTGCCTTTCTCCTCTCCCCCAACAGCCTTCAAAAACCCTGATCTCGCCCTGCGTGGTGGAGCATGCCTGTAATCCCAGCAGCTTGGGAGGCTGAGACAGGAGGATCACAGGTTGGAGGCCAGCCTCAGCAGCAGCGAGGCACTAAGCAACTCAGTGAAACCCTAATTCTAAATAAAATTCAAAATAGGTCTGGGGAGGTGGCTCAGTGGTTGAGCACCCCTGGGTTCAATCCCTAGTGCCAAAAAAAAAGCCCTTATTTCTCTCTCACACACACAGAAACAAACTTCCAAAGAGAATAAAGCCAGAGGACTCCTGGTTGGGCATCCCAAGTCCTGGCTCTTATCACCAGGGGTGGTGTGGCCATTCGCTTCCCTGTGGCCTGTTTCTTCCTTTGTGAAACTAAGGGATGGGAGATGGGGTCGGATCTTCTCAAAGGGTATTCTTTGGGGTTCTACATGGATGTGAGGGGGTGGCAGGAAAGCTGGAGGTGGGGGAGTGTCTGAAGCACATCTCCCTGTCACCTAAAGCTTCTCTGCTTTTGCCTGAGTTCTAGGAATCATTGTAAGATTTTACCTGACGCTGAACACGGTGGCGTGTGCCTGTAATCCCAGTGACTAGGGAGGCTGGGACAGGAGGCTAGCCTCAGCAATTCAGAGAGGCCCTAAGCAACTTAATGAGACCCTATCTCAAAATTAAAAATAAAGAAGGACAAAGGAGGACCTGTCTGTCTATTGAGAAGGCTTGAAAACCACATTTTTCAGGGGGTAAAGTGTCCCTTGGGCCCCCATGATTTATGATAAACTAAGGCTGCTATCACATCCCAGTTTAATTTCTTTCTTTTTTAAATTTGTTCTTTGGTACCAGGAATTAAATCCAGGGGGCCCTTAACCACTGAGCCACATCCCCAGCCGTTTTTTATATTTTATTTTGAGACAAGGTCTCGCTAACTTGCTCAGGGACTCAAATTGTGAGATTAGCTCAAGATCCTCCTGCCTCAGCCTCCTGAGCTGCTGGGATTACAGATGTGCGCCACCACGCCCAGCCCCAGGTTGCTTTCCATGATGCATCCACCCTGAATGATTGGCTGTTCTCCACTGTTCTACCTCATCCCCGGTTATTTGCATATGATTCTTGCTCTCTCCTGGTCACATGGCTCATCTTTTAAGCCACTGGTTAGGCACCCTCTGATCCTGAAAGTCTTCCAAACCCTCAGACATGCACAAAGTTCTCTTAAGAGTTGTCACAGATCTAAGCTCTTTCTTAGCACTTAGTTCCTCTGTAATTGCGTACACACCTGTCTGTCTGTCCTCAGAAGAGTATCTGAGGTTTAACCCTAACCTGCCATTTCCCAGCTGTGTGACCCTGGGCAAGTGACCTAATGTCTCTGTGCCTCAGTCTGTATGTATCTAAAATAGTATCAGCAAATGAAAAAATGCTTGCTATGTGCCTGTTCCTGTCTTATGTACTTTAACACATTGAATCCACACAACATTCCTGTGAGAGTGGTACAAAACCATTCATTTGAAAAGAGGGGAGCAAAAAACAACCCCAAGGCACAGAGAGACTTAAGAATTTGCCCCAGGTCACACAGCTTGTAAGTGACAGGTCAGAATTCAAGCCATGCAGTTTCAACTACCTTGATTTCTTAAGGTACTCTTTTTCCATTGGTCTAAGGTGATTTAAGCCTAGGGGTTTAAAATAAAATAGGAATGGGGCATATTTTTATGATTTTTAAAAATTATTACATTCTGGGGCTGGGGATGTGGCTCAAGCGGTAGCACGCTCACCTGGCATGCGTGCGGCCCGGGTTCGATCCTCAGTACCACATACCAACAAAAATGTTGTGTCCGCCGAAAACTGAAAAATAAATGAATAAATATTTAAAAAAAAATTATTACATTCTCTCATTTACCATCATGGGACCATAGCATATCAGAGCTGATTAGGATGTGTTACATAAATATAATAATCATAAAAACTAGCAGTTACTGAATATGTTATGTATCAGTCATGAGCTAATGTATTTTTTATTAGCATATACTTATTTTTAATTCTTTCTTTTTCTCTCTCTCTCTCTCTTTCTTACTTTCACCAGAGATTGAACTCAGGGCACTTGACCACAGAGCCCCATCCCCAGCCCTTTTTATTTTTTATTTAGAGACAACATCTCACTGAGTTGCTTAGGGCCTCACTAAATTGTCGAGGCTGGCTTTGACCTTACGATCCTCAAGCCTCAGCCTCCTGCATCACAGAGATTACAGACATGCTCGGTATTAATTTTTGAAAGCAGTTTTAGTTTCGTTTCATAGTAAAACTGAGCAGAAAGAAGAAATTCCCCACATTCTTCTTGCTCCCAGACCATAAACCACCTCCCCTTCTGTCACACAGTCCCCTGGAGTGGCCCATCTGTTACAGGAATGAGCCTACACCAGGACATCAAAATCACCCAGAGTCCAGAGTGAACACTTAAGGTTGTATCTTCTGTGAAGCCAAGTTTCACATCAAAACTTGTTTCTGGGCTGGGATTGTGGCTCAGGGCTAGAGCACTTGCCTGGCTCTTGTGAGGCACTGGGTTTGATCTCAGCACCACATAAAAATAAATACAGGTATTGTGTCCATCTATAAATACAGATATATACCTCCCCTTTGGTTTCAGAAGGAAGAGAAGTTGTACCATGCATCCAGGAAGCAAGAAGTGAACAGGCAAAACTCATATGAGATTTTTAGGGTGATGAACCCATTCCAAATAATACAATTATGGTGTCAGGGTATATTTATTAGACCTGGACAAGGAGCTGGGGAGCAAAACCCTTGCCCTTCATCTCAGCTGCTCAGAAGGCTGAGGCAGGAGAATCTCTGAAGCCCAGGATAAAAGGTCAACCTGGGCCACATAGTAAAACCCTTAACCCTTAAGAAAAAAAATATCTAAAACCCCAAGGGAACCAAGGTCCCGTCAAGCCGATCAACACGGAGAAATCACCCTCACAAAATCCATGCTAGGCACTGTATAGAAGCCCTACTATGAATCTTTGAGTCTAGTGGTTTATATAGCCCCTGGTTCACTGCTATTGGTCCAAACTTATGCTAATTAGGGTTTGGAAATGTACTGAC